AGCATTGTATTTTGTGCTGCTGCCTAATCCTCCTGCTTCAGTGCTGGATGACTTTACCTACTAGTACATGTAAGAAGACAATACTTGTAGGGCATGCTGTATATGTATATGACATACAAGCACGGTGTACATCCCCATTTTTGCTAGATCCTTTGCTGAAAAGACTGGCTGAGCAGCTTTTTCAGCTGTTGTCCATGACTCTCTGATTATACGCATTTTTTTAAAGGAACATAAGGGGAAAAAAAACCCTCAGACTAACAAGAAATTAAGGGAGTGAGGGAAAAGGGACAAAAAGCCTTCACAGTAGTCCATAGTCCATTTGATACAGCCAGAGCAGGAGAAATTAAAAGAAAATAAAAAAGAAAGAGATCGAGCAAAAGAATCTCAGGAAAAATCTGTACAACCCAGGATCCCTGGCTCACTGTCTCCTCCAGAAGGTGGAAGCAGCGACGCAGCTCTCCCTGCCGTGCATGGGGCACAGGGCCAGCAGCTCCTGCAGAGCTCTGACCAGGGCACATCCCTCAGACACCCGGTAACCTCTGGGATGAAAGTCCAGAGAGAAGGGAAAAAATAAAACCCCCTCACTCTGCACTATGGAGAGACTTTCTTTTAAAAATTTAAAATCTGCTTGCCGTGCAAAAGTATTTTGTGCTGGGAAGGCAGGAGTATTGCATTTATTACATGTTTAGAAGCTGCTTGCTTTTATCAGAGCATGATTAAGTAATAGCACTTGATAACTTATCTAAGGCCATTAGGTGAGATGATGTCACTCTGTCTTTGGCAATCATTTCTTACCCTGTCATCACGACTGCCTTGAGAACACTAGTTCTAGCAAGTTATCTTCATGAAAAAAGAAAAAAAGACCCTACATGAGGCTTACATTCACAGCCAAAAATCTCTCCCCTCTGTGCAGCTGCCTATTGACATACCAGAAAATGGTTTCTATGACATGTAGCCAGAATTGGCTACAGGCCAAAGTGCTATTTGAAGGACAGAGTACCAAGACCACAAATATATATATATATATGTATGTTTGGTTGGTTGGTTTTTAAAAGAAATTTAGCTTTTAAAACCCTCAAAAAAATATTATAACCCCAGGATCAAGCAAGGGGGTGTTTTCTGTATTTGTTATCATCCCACTGCTCCATGGAAATGCTGGAAAAGGTCAGAAGAGCCAGAAATTATTATAAGAGGGTAAGAAAAATGATATAATGTGCAAAGTTTAAGCCTAGCTCTAAAACAAGTCTGAAGGGTTTCTGTGAGCACTGGCTCTAACTGTGCCCAACAACAAATTTGGTCCTGTGGGTCTGCCATCTCAAACCTCAACCTTCACCCTAACATGAGCCTGAACTTCATCAGCAATTAAGCCATCTCAGCTAAACTATCCCACAAGCAGCACCAAATTATGAATACCTAAAAAAAATGTCTCTCCATGACCCTCTGCCTGGATCAACATGAACAACCAACACCTGGGTCAACATGACATAAGGCAAAAGGAAGCCTTACCATAATGGTATGCACTAGTACAAATTAAAAAGTAATCTCTGTTTCACGTGGGATGAAGCAGAAAACTAAGCAGTAGCCACAGCCCTAAGCAAAACTTAACAGCTTGACACCCTTACATATCTGCTGGACTAAATGACAGATAGCAGACACAAAACAAGCAATAAAACATAACACACACTCCACCCAATGACACCTTCAGACCTGCCATGACCTCAGAGCAAACCAAACCCTAGCCAAGGAGTTTCTGTTGGACACAGAACAAGGCAGATGGAGATGACACTGGATAACAACCTTTAAATTATGCAGACAACTCCTTTTAAATCCAGTACAAACCTGATTGCACAGATTAACACTTGCAAAACCCTTAGTGCTAACCCTGCCCTGAAGCCCAGCTCTGAAGAAGCAACCCTGCCAGACCAAAATTGTTAGTAAGAAGGTGGCTGCTAACCACAGCTGCACTAAACTTAGCTCAGCAGCTTGTTGCATACCAAGTAAAAATCCAGGCTCTCCAACCCAGCAATGGAACAAACTCCAAGCCCAAATAATTCTTAATGCTAGGGGAACTATTTTTGGCAAACACAGAGCTATGTGTAACACTGTGGCTGCGAAAGCATCAGTTCTAAACTTTGTTTCTTTCAAAACCCTGCAAAACCCCTTGCTCCTAACCCTAGTGCAACACTGAGCAGCATGTGCTCACTGAGGGGAATAGCACACAATCTATCTTTGTTTTCCTGCCAGAAAAAAAACAGGTCCTTTCATAGAATGACTTAGGTTGGAAAAGACCTTCAAGGTCACTGAGTCCAACCATTACCATTACTCTACCAAGCCCAGCACTAAGCCATGTTCCCAAGTTTCACATCTTGATGACTTTTAAACACATCCAGGGATGGTGACTCAACCACCTCCCTGGGCAGCCTGTTCCAATGTCTGACAACCCTTCCAGTGAAAAAGTTCCTTCTTCCTAATGTCTAGTCTAAACCTCCCTTGGTGCAGCTTGAGGCCCTTCCCTCTTGTTCTATCACCAGGTACCTGTGAGAAGAGACTAGCTCCTCTTTACAACGTCTTTTCAGGTAGTTGTAGAGGGTGATGAGGTCTCCCCTCAGCCTCCTTTTCTTCAGACTGAATAGCCCCAGTTGCCTCAGCTGCTCCTCACAAGACTTGTTCTCAAGGCCTTTCACCAGCTTTGTTGCCCTTCTTTGGACACACTCCAGCTTTGTACCACTCTGTGGTATAACTGAAACCAAAGCCCAGCCCAGCACCAGAGGCAGTATCTGCTGCTTCCCAGATGTACACAACAGCATTAAATGCGGCTCTACCACTCATTTCATAGAAACCAGGACCCTCCTGTGATTCCATAACAAACTAAATGATCTGTAACCTGAGGCGACAAGGAGGTGGCCAGCTACAACAACCTTCGCATACCTCTACAGGTCTTTTAAAAGCTTGACTCTCTACTGATTGTAGCTTTAACATTGCATTAGAGTTAAGTGTTCAGGATTTAGCGCTGTTGTTGCCTCTGCTTGATGTACCTCAAGATCAGGCTCAGAGATCCTAATGATCCCTGTCATTTAGGATGTGTTTCTGATAATTTTTAAGCTGATAAAAGTTGAGGTCAAAACTGTTACCAGCAGACCTTTCCTCTGGCCATGACCTGGATGTGTCTTCACCTTTATGCTTAAGACTGTTTGCCTGTTAAGAATTGAGTACAAAAAGGGGGGAAAACAAAACAAAACATTCACTTCCAAAACCTTCTGTGAACATTCTCCAACAGCCAAAGAACAGTTTTATATGTTTCAACCACACATAAATCCAGTGGAAAAAAAATTCAGAAGCAACTGTTAAAAATGGTTGAAGAATAAATAAATAATATGCCATCAAAATTCTATGTTTTAGACACTACTTGGGCATTCTTCTTTCACTCAGAGCTCTTTTGAGCTGCTGTGTCTTACTTTGAACACTGTACAAAATTCTTTTGCATGTGGATTCAAGTATGTGCTTTGCATCTAAGCCATATTATGTTTGTATACTGTTCAAGGTGAAGAATTTAAACTGTTATTCAGAAATCACAAAATAAGTCAAGTATACAGAAGCCTTTGTAACAATACGGTAGTTAAGGCAAGATCAATCTAACAGGTATAAGCCATCTTTCAACTCCAGCATTATTTTACTTATAATAGAGCTTATCTCTTTAAAGTTATGATACAAGCTAAAATAGTCCCTCCAGCATATGGGAAGCCCAGGTTGTTACAAGCAAATATACATTGTTTGTATTATTTTGCTGTTAATTCAAATCTAACTTCACTTGGGATAAAGCTGCTGCTTAAAACCCTTTTTTAGCAACAGATTCTGCACAACATAAAATAAACCCAGGTCCACAAAACCTACCCAGAAGAGCAGGGAAACCACTGCAAGGAGCCACACCAAGATAAAAAAAGGGAGACCAGGCCTGCCGTGACCTGGTCGGGCCAGAAAGGCCAGTGAGCTGCAGCTCCCCTCGGGTGGCTGGTGCGGCACTAACACGAGGGGCCGTGTCACAGCCGCCTGCCTGAGGAAGCGTTTCTAACACAGATGAATTTCACACGGGCCAGGCCAACCGAGTGACGTGGTGACAGTCGTGCAGGGAGAGTCGAGCCCCTCGTAGCCCTGAGGAAGCCCCTTCCCTCAGAGACCCTGCCAGGCCAGGGGACCCCCTCACCAGCAAGCAAAGACAAATGTCCTCAAGCCCCAGCCTGGCAATTGGTTTGTAATGGGCCTTGGGGGGTGAGATACAAATGGGAGAGGGAAAAAGTTGGTAGGAATAAAGCAGGGTAAAATGGTTACCCCTTCCCCAGCATTCTGGTCAGCAGCTGAGATGTGGGAATGAGAAGAGAACTCATCTGCTGCTGGATGAGAAAGAACTCAACCTTGGCGAGGCGGAAGAGCAGCAGAAGGAAGCTCTACCCCCAGAGGCCATTCTCACACCTCCTTGGGCTAAGAAAAACAACCCTCAGAGGCAGCAGCAAGGAAGGAAGGGAACACACTCTTCTCCTTCCACGTTTGGCATTCATCTCTGGCCTGGCAGAGGGGACCAGGATCCAAGCCCACACTTGTGTATTCGCTGAGCCGTGCGCCCTGCTCAGTGAGCTCCTGCCAGAGGCAGGTGGCAAAGTCTTTTGTCATGAGGTGAGGGGGAAAAAGGGGAAAAGCCAAAAAAACCCAACCCAACACAATCCCAAAAAGCCAAAAAAACCCACCCAAAACAATCACAAAACAACAACAGGCTCAGGCATCAGCTGAATGGAAAAGGTGCAACCCAGGATCAGGACTAATAGAGAACCAGAATGTGATTAAACTCTTGGGTCTTCAAGTGCAGGGAGACCCGTCTCCTGCCTCTGGTTCCTAGCCTGGCCTGGCAAGCAGCAGCTACCTTCATTCTCCCCTCCATAACCATCTGGAGAAGGAAAACTGGGCCCAGAAGAGCACTAAGGCTCTGCTGGACTACCCCTCCAGGACAGATGCCTGGCAGAGGTGTGGGCACACACTCTCCTGCAGATCAGCTCCCATTTCGAGGTGAGCCACAGCCTGTGGAGAACATCAACTGTGTGACGGCAGGAAGCTCCCAGAGATGCGGGGGGCAGGGGGGGTTGGGGGGTGCGGTGTTTGTCCCTTGACACAGGCCTGGGCTGGGTTCCTTGTCATACAATACTTGCGTGGTCTTACTCCGTTTTAAAATGGCTGGAATCAAGTGATCGGGTGTTAATTGTTTAAAAAGACAGTCCTGATGTTGCAACGTTTTATATCATTCGGCTGTTAGAATGATTTGGTCTGGAGAAAAGGAGCCCGAGGCGGGAGGCCTCGCTCTCTGCAGCTGCCTGGAAGGGGCTGGAGCGAGGGGGGGTCGGTCTCTTCTCCCAAGAAACAAGGGAGGAAATGACCTTAAGTTGCACCAGGGGAGGTTTAGATTGCATATTAGGAAAAATGCCTTCATTGAGAGGGTTCTCAGGCCCTGGGACGGGTTGCTCAGGGAAGTGGGAGAGTCACCATGCCTGGAGGTGTTTAAAACAGACACGTAGATGTGGTGCTAAGGGGCACGGTTTTGGTGGCAGTGCTGGGTTAGTGCTTGGGCTTAATGGCCTTGAAGGTCTTTTCCAACCCCAGTGACCTCTTGTTTTAGTGCTTGCAGAATATCTGGGAACTGCTTAATTCTGAGTGATGCTTTGTTTTCAGAAGAAATATTTAGAATGATGGAGTGACTGGTTGTAGTTCTTTGGGTCAACTGGCAGACCTGTTTGTTTCTTCTCTCCGTAGCTGTTGCCGATGCCATTAGAACAAGCCTTGGACCAAAGGGAATGGATAAAATGGTAAACCTTGCACTTTAATTTTTAAAACATTACACTTACTGGAGATACTGTAAAGTCAACATCTTTCCTATGGGATGCCATCTTTTGCTTTTAGGGGAAAATAGGAACTAAATGTACCTCTCAGTTTGAGAAATAATGTTGTCAGGAAAAGTATTTTACATTGAGCAATAAATTAAATTAAAGGTTCATAGTTACTTATCAGAACTGTGTTTTTGCTCTTCCTTCTCAGATCCAGGATGCTAAAGGAGATGTGACAATCACTAATGATGGTGCTACTATTCTGAAACAAATGCAGGTTCTGCACCCTGCAGCCAAAATGGTAAGGGTTTGGTTTGTT